CCCAATCCTGGTTGCAGCAGGATTTGATCTCAGGTCTCTATTCCAATAAGTCTGTGATCCTACCAACTAAATTGATCACATTAAAGACATCAAGATTTCATTCACTTTTCAATAAGTTATTTATACGGGTAAATGCAATTATCTGGGTAAATTTTTCCTGGGAAACACTTACCTGGGTAAGTGCATTTGCCCATATACTTTTGTTTCCCTAGTAAAAAGGCAATGACCATTTTAGCTATAAAAATCCATTATTAAAAGGGGTATTCTTGTCCCAATCAAGCGTTGGCAACTTTCCCTACAAGTGGGAAAAATATTTACCCACCTATGAGATAGGTATCACTTACCTATGAAAATAAACTTTCCCTAATCCCCACATAAATATGAAAATAGAACATGGGATTTTTGGTCAATGGGATTTGGTCAATGGGAACCAAAATCTCATTGACCAACTTTCCCCCCTCTCAAAATCCAAAGAAAAGAACACTCCCCAAAAGTTTATTTACCTTTTCATTTATTCATGTATTTTTGTTTTATGGTATAGTTTCTGCACTATAGCATTTGCCATAATTTATACTATATAAAGTAATATTTATTTAATTATATATAAGGTTGCAACTTGGGCCGGGTTGGCCCAAACCCAACCCAAAAAAAAGTTGGATTGGGTTGGGCCAGGTTGGCCTGAACCCATCCCAAAAAAAAATTGGATTGGGTTGGGTCGGGTTGATGCTTAGGTTAGGGTTAGGGTTGAAATTCATGGACCCAACATTACTTCGGGTTGGGTTAGGGTTGACCCCTTAGGCAACCCGAACCCGACTCTATAATACATGTCATATATAAATATATGTTATAAGTAATATATAACATACATTGATTTGTTTAGATGCATGATATTTATATAGCCCCCACCATATAGTATCATGTATTCCATTTAAGATAATCACTTCATTTGATCCTAATCTTGAAGACTAAAACCTTAATAACATTATTTTGTGTTTTTTGAATATTTTATTATTCATCTCCTCTCTATTATTTGTCGCTCACAAAAGATCTATCATAAGTCATAACTTGTAATAAACTATAGTCATTTCTAACACTTTTTTTTTTTTGAAATTTGTACCAAAAGAACAAAAAGAATCGTCAACACAAATAATAATGAAACATAGAATTAATATATGTAACGAAAGTTGAGTTAAGATCTAAAATTGAGAAATTTTATGAGGTTTTAAGGGATGGAAAGAAGGTTGAATTGGGTTAGGGTTGAAGGAGTTTAATTAGGATTAGGTTTAGGGTTAGGGTTGGATAGGTCGGGTTGGGGTTGGACTAGCATTGACCTCAACCCGACCTAATCGGCCCAACTTGCAGTCCTAATTATATATCATATATCTATTACTATTTGGTGGTTGACAATCATTAATACATCCAAAGAATACTAAAAAATCGATATCTATTTGGTTTGAAAGGTAAGAAAAATAAAAGGTAGAAAAACCTATACAAATCAAACACAGCTTCAATGGAAAGTTACAGGCCCAACCCGTCCCGAACCAGATTAGAGCCCTTAGCAAAAGTTTTAAGCCTGACCCAGCCTAGTCCATGATTTTGTTAGTTTGCAATTTATATATTAATTGCCGATGATGTTTCATGCGATGACTGTAATCTTTTAATTTCTCATATTTTTTTCATTCGGGATGTTTACTATATATTTTTTTTTATTTATTAATTAAAAAATCCATTTTTGGGAAACTTGTGCTCTTGCACTTTGGTTGATGCCTCATGTAATGCCTTTGCAACATTGGTTTGAACATGATAAAAATACAAATATATCATGAGAAATTAATACAAGTATCAGAATGGATGCATGTATGTTATGTATATAATTCAGGTCTTAATTGGTTCAGAACAACCAAAACCAATCTTTGCCCAATTAAAATTGGGACCCATAATCCAGATCACATATAATTGGGTAAGGTCACAGCCCTAACTTTAGACACCAATACACCCACATACCCATACTACTGTGAGGAAATACTAGTTTGAGTCTTTGATGTGTCCAAGATAAAAGGGTAAAGAAGATGTAAGTATCAACCTTATATGATATGCTACTTTGATTTAATTTTTATAACACGTGTGTTTTATTTATATAGGGCATTTTAAAACTGGTGCTGTTTTCCAGCGTCATTTTCTAAGAAAAGGTTTTTTCATTTTCTTTTTGGGGATTGTTTCTGTCAATAAATGTTTTTCAACATCATATGAGCATACCTTTTCCAATTTCCAAGATGTGATATGAGAAAATGTTTTTCAGCAAAAAAACACACAATCCAACAGTTCTTCATAAAACAGATTGGAGWTGTGGTGTTGATGTGGCAATCTAATTGGGTAACAATAATCTGAAAACTATTATAATTGAAACTCAAAATACAGACTTAGGTGGCGTTTGATAAATATGAAAATTCAGATATGAAACGTTAAAAAGATATTAAAGGTGTCTGAAATATGAAAAGAGACAGATGCTTTTTTACTTTTTAGAGGCTCTGAATCCATAAGTTTGTTTGTGTTGGATCAACCCTTTATCATTTGAAATTTACTGATTTTAATATTTTACCCCTAGAACATACTATTTGTAAATGTTGAGTTCAATTTGCATTATCTCATAAAAGATAATTTTCAACCTCAAAATAACATTGAAACAATACAAATAAAAAATAAAAATTAATAATTAATAATTACTAATTACTAATTAATAAATGAAATGATTAAAATTAAAAAAATAATTAATGACTATAAAAATATTAAAAAAATTAATAACTAATAATTTATAATTAATAAGAATATTATTATTTCTACTCACCAAACCGTTTTTGCAACTTGTAGCGATAGTGGTGGTGGCGAGAAGATAGGTGTGTGTGTGTGTGAGAGAGAGAGAGAGAGAGAGAGAGAGAGAGATAGAGAGAGAAGAGAGAGGCAGTGAGAGCGAGAGCGAGAGAGAGACAAGGAGCCGCCACCATTGCAACTTGTAGCAATGGTGGCAGGAAGACAGGGGAGAGAGAGAGAGAGAGAGAGAGAGAGAGAGAGAACTGTCACTGCTCAACTTGCAGTGGCGGTGATGGGAAGACAGGGGGAGAGAGCAAGAGCAAGAGCGAGAGAGATAGAAGGAATCGTCGCCACTACAAGTTGTAGCGGTGGTGACGGGAAGACAGGGGAGACAGAGAAGGAATCGCCACCGATGCAACTTGCAGCAGCAGCAACGGGAAGATAGGGGAGAGAGAAAGAGTGAGAGAGAGAGAGAGAGAAGGAACCGTTGTCACTGCAACGGTGGTGGCGGAATACAAGAGAGAGAGAGAGAGACAGACAGAGAGAGTGCAGCGGCGGTGGTGGCGGTGGAGCTTCGTAGGTCGTAGTGAGGGTTCGATTCGAGTTACATGAAGGACAAAAACATATAATATTAAAATTTCTTTGAGGGCATTTATGTCTTTTATGCACCTCTCAATTACGTCTGAGCTCATAAGTGCCAAGCTACTAAGTTAAAATTTCATATCAATTTTCAGATGCAACACCAAACAAGTCCGATGTCTGAAAAGCAAGTTTTTCAAACACTCAACCTCTGAAAAGTGTTATCAAACGAGGCCTTAGCTAGGTGGTGTATAAGGTCCGGTCTATCATGCTGACCTGGACCACTATTCCAAGTTCTTGAGGAATTTTGTGAAAATTTTGGAGAACTTTTCTTCAACCTTCTGTTTCTCTTTCTTTCAAATCAAATACATTGCCTTAACTACAATTAAAATCATATTTACAGTTCATCTCAGACCTAGAATGAATCCATCTCATACCCAAGATGATTGTACAACTTGGCCACAAAAGAGCTGCAACAATTGCAGCTTCTTTCTAGGATATGAGTTGCAATCATCATATTTAACAACCCTCTTTAATCTTCTCATCATCAAAAAGAAACTTCGTGAGTGTTATGTGTGTGATCCATCTGCATTTCATCTAAAACATGGAAAGCCTTCTCCCACACTTCCTCTCTACAGAAACCATGAACCAAGACCATGTACATTCTCAATGAACCATTCAACCTAAAAGCTCAAGTTATTAGGTTAGGTCCCTGAATAAATTTTTTCACATTTTTATATTAAAAAATTATATTTAAAATATAAAATATTAAGATATATATATATATATTATATTTAAAAAACCGATCAACTTAGATTGAGTTGGGTCGGATTGGGTTGGTTTCATCGATTTGATGAATAGTCCTAAATGAAATTAATTATTGTTATTTTTGTATTGCAAAAAAATATTAAAAATAATATATAAAATATAAATAATTATTAATTATTTAAAAATTTGATAGATAAAACAATTGTCTACTCTTATATGTTTTTATTGTTTAGCTTTTGCTTATCAAAGTGCATGCATCTCGCAGGTGCCCGCTAGTACTCATGATTGTAGACAGGCTGAGCTCAGACAAGTTAAGTCCAGCACATGCTCCATCGGTACGTGATGTATCACGTATGGAAAATTGTGCCATGCCACCCATCTGATGCGAATGCATTTCATATGTGGCTAGCTATGTCAATGAGAATTCTGCTGAGTGTAGTTGGGCTATTGCCTCGCCCAAAGGCCAAGGCCCATTCAGAGCCAGTTCAATTGTCTTATATTGAGGGAAATTTAGAGTTCAAACCACCTAAGGGAATTTTATCAAGTTCTTGGGATTTATTTACCAACAACTACTCTACCTATGATTCACTACCCTCTTCAATTTTAATTCATTCTCCCACCTGTTACTACTCCCTTCAATTTTAATTCATTCCCCCACCTGTTAGGCTGTTACTACCCCCTACAATTTTAATTCAATTCCAATGGTAGGGCATATAACTGATCCGTGACTAAATTTATATAACCATTTGCATCATACAAATTTACGAATACATATCCTCTGGAAGTCTGGAGTTCTGAAGTATTGGGAATGAACATATATACAACATTAGCCCAATTGAGCCAAATCACCAATAATCTTTACAAGAACAGGACCCATTTTGAAAATAATGGAAACGGTTCTGATCCCTCACAATGATCTTCCTATTATAAACCATAGAAACAAGCTTGATAAAGGAGTGGCAATCAGAGCAAAACCTTAGGTTTTTCACTATATGAATGGGGGCCCCCTGTTTCATGTTTATAAGACCAAATGCAACTGCAATTTTTTCACTATGAACGCGGAGTAAATTTTCCTTGTCTTCCTCCTCAACATCAAGAAGGATTTGCGTCAGGTCAGGCTCATAGCCCTCCAACTTCAACCTGCAAATGACCTCCTCTAGCTTCAAAAGAACTCTGCCCCTATACATCATATCCATTTCCATCCCCACAAGGAATTGATGCACCACTCCATTGGAAAGGACTGAGCTGCAACCTGGGATCTTTCGGACTCCCCTCTGTCTCATCATTGATCTTACCTTAGCCACATTGTCCCATTTACCAGCCTTGGCATAGACGTTTGACAGGAGAACATAACAACTTGAGTCCTCGGGAGCCAACTCAATTGCATGGAGGGCAGCATGTTCCCCAATGGCAACATGCCCATGCTTCACACAGGCACTGAGGATGGCTTTCCATGCTAAAACATCAGCTTCCATGGGCATTTCCTGTAAAACATTGATTGCTTCTTGTAAATGTCCTGCTCTGCCAAGCAGATCAACCATGCACCCGTAATGTTGGATCCCAGGAACTATCTTGTAGCTTTCTTGCATTAGGCTGAAAAAATATTGACCCTCTTGAACCAAGCCTCCATGACTACAAGCACTAAGAACACCTAAGAAAGTGATTTCATTGGGCTTAATGTCGTATCTCTCCATGTCATTGAAGATTTCTAGAGCTTCTTCACCTAGGCCATGTATTGCCAAACCAGAAATCATAGAATTCCAGTCCCCAATGCTTCTCCTATGAGAGATGCTTTTAAAGATACGGTAGGCATCTTCTATATACCCACATTTTGCATACATGTCTATAAGAGCAGACCCAATAAACCCAGAATCCAATCTGATCTTATTTGTACTGAGATAAGCATGAACCCACTTCCCTTCCTCAACAAAACCCAAGTCTGCAATGGCTGAAAGAACAGAAACTATAGTGGCAGCATCTGGTTGAATTCCCAAACTCAACATTTCTCGAAAAAGAACCAACCCTTCCTTAGGGCGGTGATTAAGTACATATCCCGAAATCATGGCCGTCCAAGAAACCACGTCTTTATGTTTCATCATTTGGAAAAGCYCTTGAGCGTGCTCACATTTCCCACATTTCCCATAACCATCTATCATTGTATTCCATGAGAACAAATCCTTCTCAGGCATTTCATCAAATAATGCACGAGCCAAGTCAATCTCCCCGGCCTCCACATAACCCTTAATCATGGAATTCCAAGAAACCACATCTCTACAAGGCATTGTATCAAATACCCTTCTCGCCATTCCAACTTCTCCAAGATCCAAATACATCCGAACCACCGAATTCGAAACAAACGGATCATATTGAAAGTTGGTCTTCAAGACATGTCCATGAACTTGCTGCGCTTCACCGAAGGCTCTTGACCTCCCGCAGGCTTTGAGGACGGAAGGTATGGAGAACTGAACACCATCAAACTCGTCCAAATACGACAGCATTTGCGAGTAAAGGAGTATAGAATTCAATGAGCTAGCACTGTCTGCAAAGCCTTTAATCATGGCAAAAAAGATGAAGCAATTGGGTTGTTGAATTCGTGGGAAGACAGATGCGGCATAGTCTAATCCACCACAGACACCAGACAGCGAACAGAAGGCGACAAGTCTACTTACTGCAAACGTGTGATGTACGAGACCGGTTTTGATCATATGGGCGTGGATTTGATGCAGCTCTGACATGGATTTGCATTTCTCTAACAATGAAACGGTTGGGTTTGCAGTAAAGTGTGGAAGGACTGAAACGGCAGCCATGCTACTGTAGAGTGTAGGCAGCTCAGAAATCGGAACCATAGATAGAGATTTGGTCAAGGGAAGAGGAATGAGGGATAGAAATGCAGAGCTGACAACCCTCTGTGGTCTACATCTGAGAGGTGGGTAGAGACTGTAGGTAGATAGTTGGCTGTAAAGAGAAATAGCATGATTACAGTATATGCAGGTCTACATCTTCGGTCTGCTACTATTAACAGTGTTTCAGTTACTTAGAAATCACAGCCAAGAAGATATTGTTACTAAAAAAGGGAAAAAAAAAAGAACCCACCGTTAATGAAATTTCAGTTTGGGTCGGGCTAAAGCCTTGGGCCAATTCTTAGAGATGGGCCTGGGTTGAGCTTGAACCCAGTCCATTTTGTTTTTAGCCTATCCCGACCAAACTGCTGGTTCGTGGTTGGCTATTGTGTTCATTTCCCCAATAAAATTAGCCTGATAAGGTTTAAAGTATCTACACGTATTATATGAAAAAAAATGTGTACCAAAGTGTTTCAAACAATGGATATTTTCTTTTATTTTTCAGCGTGACCTGCGCAATCTAGTTGCTCCTAGCTGAAGGTGATTTGGCTTCCAGTAAACGACGGACATGGAGGATCTGCATAGAGAAAATCAGAGAACCCGGGGGTGCTTACCCGGCGAGGTCGCTCCGATGTTTAAGTCAGTATGTGCGAGCTGAAAGTGATCAGAAAGCAAGAGAGCTAGTAAGCAGTAATTGCGCGTACCTTTGCCCCCAAAGGGTTGGGGTCTTTATATACTGAAGTCCTCGTGGGTTTTTTGGAGTGGTTCCGGGATTTTTGCCGTGATGTGGTCTGTTACCGAATTAATAGGAGATAACGTTGCCAGCCGATAAGGCATATCGTTGCCGTCCGAATCGGTCGGGAGATAAGGCCAGCTGTTACGAGGCGTGATCCTGTGAAACGTGGAATCCGGTGATGAGATCTTCGGGGTTATCATGTGGAGGCCGATCAATATTATCCGAACTGATGCCCCCTGGTCCGACCTGTTATGAACGTCAATGTGCTTGGTAACCGAGGTGATCTTAATGCAATCGTGCCCCGAAGTGAACTTGTCCCGAGGTGGGCCTGTCCTGAGGTGGTTCGGATATCCGAGCTTGGTCCGTCGCAGACTTGGGTACATTTGAGATGAGCTGTCATTCTGTCAGCTAGGTCGTGTCCACATGTCCCTCTATTATTAGGTCGGGCCAAATCACCCTACATCACCAAGGATGTTTTTAACATCTAAAACATTTAAAACCCCCAACCTCTCAATATTTGGAGTATTATTGGTGACCCCTTGATACTGATATAATATGCAGAGTATAATCTGATATGTATTGATACTTTAAAGCTTGGGATAGAGAGTGAGAAAATGCAAGTTTTAGTATGGAAAGTCCCAAATTGTTAGATATTTTTGTTTTGACCTAATTTAAAAAAAAAACTCTAATTAAAGAACCCTAATCACTTTGTATAGGCAATTATATAACCAATAATGTTTTTGAATCGTCGTTGATTTGGACAGTCGAACCGTTCAGCCCGGGAATCATCCGGGCAACCAGTTCCGTTTTACCTCAAATCCGATCCCTAGCAAAAAACCATTGAATTGGTCAATAACCCATTAATCCAGACAATCGAACTGTCAACCCAGAAACCAATGGCCGGAACAGTACTGATTCTAAGCTAGTTTTTAAAACATTGTAACCAATTACGATTGAGCATGCCAATGTTTTGTTTATATGCATGGGACCCACACCGATCTGTACAAAAACATTGGCGTGTTTATTCATGATTGGTTATATAGCCACTTACACAACAGTCCAGGCAACAAATCCGTAGTGCTAATTAAAACTTAAAGGATAATTAATCTTAAATTATTTCTATTCTTTACTTTTTTTTTCTTATTTTTGTATATTTTTTATTTCAACAAATTGAATGCTTGGTACAAACAGTTAGACCATTCAAATTGTGAATTAATGGCAAAATTATGTCCATTTCGAATTTGACAATGCATTGCAATTTGGGTCCTCCAATTGCTGCCTAATTAGTGTCATCAAAACTTGTCAAAGTCTTGAGTCTTGTATGTTCAAAACTTGAGGACCCATCACATGAAAAGGAGTATATCCAAATTCAATTTTAAAGGATATATCCGATATTCAAAATTTTAGTTCGAATATGATTGTATATGCAAAACCTAGGTTTGAATTTTATGCGATAAATAAGCATATATCTAATAACAAATTCACTTTGATTGGATTAATTTAATAAAAGAAAATTGAAACTAAAGTAAAAGAAAATGAAAGAAAAAACAATAAGGGCAGAACAAAATAATCAATCAAACCTTTTATACTAGAAGTATGTGTTTGCTCTCTTAATTACAATTGTTAGTTGCCAGCAATCAAAGAACAAAGATGGGGTGGGATTTCTAGTTGACCTTTCATAGAAGACAAAGAATAAATAATAAGTGGTGGAAGGTATACAAGAAAGAAGAGAGAAAAAGAGCCAATCTATTATATTGTAATTAAATTGTAGTAAAAGTATATGTTGTGACACAAGGAGAAGAAGAAGGCATATGCATATCTTAAGTGAGAGCTCCAAAGTTCAAAAATGGGTCTTTGCTCTATCTTAGATTTCAACCCCTTTCACTTGTCAAATCTGATGCGAACAAGTATCAAGATAAAAATGAAAGATTTCTATTTGTGTTTTCTTGAACATGAATAAAGAGTGTTTTCTAGTTTCAAAGAAATGAGTAGGATGAAAATGATGAATAAGAGCTAGAAAAGACTCATGGTAGAGTCACTCATTTCATTCGTGGTCTCTCATGGTGCTTTCATGAAGACAAACAAAAAGAGAGATATCTAGTTTTGGTATTTTTCAATGGAGTGAAAACTAAAGAGGATATAGGGCTAGGCTTTAATTAAGATGAAAATTGAGGCAAAGTTTCAAGTATATGTCTCGGAAATGCATGTGATGTGGAAAAATATGAATACACTTGAATATGTTAGGGAACTGCTATAAATCCCACAAATGCATTAACAATATTAAATTTAAGGTTGAAATTAGTACAAATAAGGTATAAATACATAGTACATTTATATTTTAATGGTACATATGAAACTATGCATCACAATTAATATAGAAGGATATATAGATATCATATAATTTTATTGATAATGCATCAATTAAGAGTCCAAAATACATATTATATAGACTTTTACAAATTATGACAAGCATGTGTAATTATTATATTTTAATTATTGAATCAATTATTTTCTATTTTATTATTTTTACTTTTTAATGTTGACGATAAAGTCAATTTAATATTCAATTCTCATATGTTAAGTGACAATATTTTTTTTGCAAATAATAAATATGTCATTATTTAATGTAAACTAAGGGCCTGTTTGGCACGTCTTTTTGTGCGGTCTTTTAGTAGTTTATAAGCCAGGCAGGCCAATTTTCGGTTTATTTCCATTTGGTTTGCAGAAGATCTAGCCGCCAAAAGTCGAAGCGCCAAAAAGACATGAGAAACCCATTTTGGGCTAATTTCGGGAAGTTTCATTCTTCGTGTCTTTTGTGTTTTATTCTCACGTGGAAAGACACAGAAAGATATGCATATGCCAAACTAGCTTCGGGCTGCTCAAATCTTCATGCAAAAGCTCAATGCGTCTTTTGACTGTCAGAGCTACGGAAGATCTTCCCAAAAAGACGGGCCAAATGGGCCCTAAAATATCAATTAATAAAATATACAAATATATAATCTTAACCTAAAATATATCAGGTCTATTAAAATTTCTAAGATACATATCATATGCGAATTTATAACTTTTAATTACTTAAATGACTATTCCATAATTAGTATTTTTATTTCTATAAATTTCTTTAAATTAAAATTATTTTGTCATATAAATGTAGATTACTGGATTTAATGGATTTTTTTCATTTTATTAGCATTTAAAAAATACAAAATTTGAGGATTATTATATATACTACTATTTTATTCGGATTACCAATGGATACCAAATTAAATAAAACTTGTTGTTCTTTTAACATGTCTAGCCTCATGCAAATGCACATCAGGAAATGTATATATTTTCTTCACATTCTTAATTGATTAATTACATAAATTACATTAGAATTCATATGACATATTGGGGTAAAAAAGCATTTGATAAATTATTTAAATTAAGAAAATGTAGCACCTCTAAAACATTTATGCCTTAAAATAAGGCACTTCAATACCTTATGCAGGGGGATTTGTGTGCATGTGCTTGTGTATATGTGAGAGAAAAGAGTAGTATATGTAATAACAATATATATATATATATATATATATTAAGAAATAACACCAACTTACCATCTCAAATTTATGGTTATTGGTCACCTCTTTTATTCATCATCCTCCTTTTCTTTTCTAGTCTTTTAGAATGTCCTATATTTCCAAGTATGGGGAAACTAAACTTATATACTATTTTGTATTTGAGATCCATTGTTCATGTGGTATATTTAATTTTTCTTAAAAAATTAAATTAGGTTTAATTTATAATTTATAATCAATTTTATTTAATAGAATGGAACCTACACCATTGAAAGTCTTTATAATGAGTCTTTTATTTGAATTAAAAAAAAAATTGAATCAAACACACTAATATGGGGCACCGATTTTTTGAAGTGGGTATATTTTTTATAGATATTTGCATGTTTAAAGAAGTTAACTATTTTCACTTTTTCAAAGACTTGGTAAATATATGTTTGGAAAATAAAGATTCAATTTAAGAGTGGGTACTTTTTTGTTTAAGAATGAGAGCAATCCATTTTTTAGATGCTTTTTCTTGAATAAATAGAATACCACTAGTCTAAAGGAAAATCTTTTTTTATTAGACTGGATTGAATGATTAAAATTTAGATGGACATAAATATATAATATTAATAGTTCTCGTCTTTATTCAACTTAGTGTTTTACTATTTTTTGAATATATCTACACTATATAATATAGATACTTACCTTATTTCTGGTATAAGTAAAAAAAG